AGACGGCCTCCTCCTCCTCATCCTCCTCATCCTCCTCAATTAACATCATATTCCATCCTCGGCTTTCCTCCCTCCTCCAAACCCATCCGTGCCCTCCTTCTCTGCTCCGGCTTCCCTCCGGATCCTCCTTCCCCACCTGTTCCTTATCCTCCAGCCCTCCTCTGTCTTAGTATTCCTGATCCTCTTCCTGCTTGTCTTCCTCTTCTTCCTCATCATCATCATCATCATCATCATCATCATCCTCCTCCTCCTCCTCATCATCATCATCCTCATCATCATCATCATCATCATCATCATCATCATCATCATCATCATCATCATCATCACCATCATCATCAAGATCAGCATCAGCATCAGCATCAGCATCAGCAACATCATCATCATCATCATCATCATCATCATCATCATCAGCATCAGCATCAGCATCAGCATCAGCATCAGCATCATCATCATCATCAATCACCATCATCATCACCATCATCAACATCAACATCCATATCATCATCAACCACATCGTCATCATCATCAGCATCCTTATCATCATCAGCATAATCATCATCGTCATCATCACCAGCAGCATCATCAGTCTGTCCCCATCGTCAGCAGCATCATCAGCAGCATCATCAACAGCAGCATCATCATCCAAGGAATCATCATCATAACCACCATCGTCACAGCAGCAGCCTCATCATCATCATCAAAATCATCACCACAATCATCATCATTATCGTCATTATCATCATCATCATCAGCATCATCACCATCCGCATCCTAATCATCAGCATAGTCATCATGTTCTCCATCATCATCAGCATCATCAGCATCATCAGCATCAGCATCAGCAACATCATCATCATCATCATCAGAATCGTCGTCATCGTCGTCATCTTCCTAAGCCCCCATTCCTCCCTCCCTTCTTCCCTGCGTGCGTTCCTCCCTCTCTCTATCTGCTCCTCCTGCTTCTGGTCCCCCTGTTCTTTCTTTTTAGAAGGAAGCACGATTGCACTTACCTGTAACTGACGTTGCAGAGGTAAACATCGCATAATCATGTTCTCAAGAGCTCCCAATCAAGTCCACAACTTCTTGCACTGCTACGGCCTCAGCCGTACAGGAAGATAGTGGTGTGCTGATAAATCGTCCCGCCATGCAAATTGAATGCGACACTGTCCCACTCGGTAACTAGCTGCACATGGGCTTCGACGAACCACGCTGCTTCTGAGCACTTGTTTGCGCGGATCATCCCATCAGTATGTATGACATAGTTCGCTTTCTGCACAGACACGTTGTCCACAGGAGGCGCAAATTTCTGACACCATGAACGCTGGATATCCATGGTGTCATTCGCAATGTGGTCCGCTATCCTATTGACGCATCGCCGGCGCCATTGTACAGGGTTCAATTCTGGCTTGCTCGTCATCCAAACGTTTTCCACCATAGCAAAGAGTTCTTCGGACTCACGGGTGAAGAGCGGAAGAAAGTCAGGATTGAGCCGCGTCGCCGTTGATGACATTCGTTAGGGGTTCGCAGTCTGTGAAGAAGCAGAGATGCCGATCGGGTCCGGCCCACTGCATCGCCGGAGCGCCCTTGCCATGCGTGGCCTACAGTCGTCGAGGCTGTGGTGATCTGTCCGGGATCGGCACGCAGGCGGTGGCCCTTCGAGCTGTTCGTCTTCCTCCTCCTGCTCCCTCGGCCTGTACAGTTTCCATCGGACGCAGCTCTGGGCTTCAAAGTCTGGGTAAAGCCTCATCCACTGAGCAAGCGTTGTACAAGTATCCAGTTTTGCTCGCCAATCTACCCCGAAACTGTCGACCTAAATATCTTCCCACTCAGTCTGGTGCACTATACCCGCGTGCACGTGCCCATCCTGGCGACGCGTGTAAGATGACTGCATCGCCAACGCTGTTGTCCACCACTGCCGAGTCTGGAAGGTGCGAGCCATCTCCAAATAGTTCGGGAGGTGTTTATCGCGTAATCCGCGCTCTCTCCACGCGTGCTTGAAAACCTGCAGTAAAAAGCGAAAGTGAAAATGTACATTGCCTTCTCCCCCCCACCACCTCATCCATTCTCCCCCTCCAACTCATCCCCACCCTCCCGACCTCCCCCGCAACATATCTCTTCCTTCCTCTTCCTCTCACCTCCTTCCTCCTCCCCCTCCTCCTCTGCTTCCTCCCCCCCTCCACCCCTAACCTCTCCCCCTCCCCCTCCCCTCCTCTGGACGCGGCTCCCGCTCAAGCTTCGGCTCCACCCTCCGCCTTCTTTGGCTGTGGCCCTAGCCTAGGTTCTTGCGCAGCGCCTCCCCACCCCCCACCCCCTGTTCGCCGAGGACGCCTGCACCCCGCGCCCTCAGGCCGCCTGAGGCCCCGCCCGCCCGCGCCCTGTCTCCCCAATTAGTGCTTTGCGCGCCCCGCCTAGCTCTTAACCAAAAGAGGCCCGCTCTCGACCCGCAGACCACAAAACTGTTCGCCGAGGACCGCGCACCTCCCGCAGCGCCCGCGGGGCTCGCGCGGCGCCGCTGGCCGCCGCCACCCGCCGGGGGGAGGGCACCCCTGGGCGGCGGCGGGGGCGGGTCCCCCCACGGGCGGCGGCGGGCCACGGCCGTCCTGCGAGAGCCGGGCTCCAGGTGGGCGCCTGGGGGGTGGAGGAGGGGCAGTGAGAGGGAGGAGGGAGAGAAAGAGAGGGATAGGGAGGAGGGAGAAGGAGGGATAGGGAGGGGGATGAGGGAGAGAGAGAGAGAGGGAGATGGAGGAGGGAGAAGGAGGGATGGGGAGAGGGATGAGGGAGAAGGAGGGACAGGGAGAGCGAGAAAGAGGGATAGGGAGAGGCACAGAGAGAGAGGGGGGGCGTCGCCATCGTCGTCCCCGCCGCCGTTCCCCGTCGGGACCATCGCCGCAACCCTCCTCCTCCATGCCTTGTCCTTGTAGATAACCCCTCCCTGTCGCACCCCGAGCTGTGTCAGTAGGGCTGGCCGGGCGTTTCGCCTGAGACTTCCTCACCACTTCTGATCCTTAAGCTGGACCTTAGCGCCGCGCGCAATCGTCGCAAAATTGCAAGAGCTTCACGGATGAGGGTCGGCTGTTTTCAACATGTGGCTCTCGCCGCAGCGCCACGCACATTGGTCTAAAAATTTTGGACACAGTCCAATATCCCCAAACAGAGTTTCTTTGAGCCAACGTGGCTCCTAAGAGTGTTCGAGCGTCCCGCTGCTTCTGATCCGCCTGCGTTTTCGGCGTCGTCATCGAGCTTTCCGTGATCGTCATCGTCGCACTCTTCCCCTGCAGCCACGTAAGACTCCTTCTCGCCCTCGCCCTCGCCCACCCCCACTGAACTACCTCCTTCTCCCCCTCCTCCTCATCCTCCTCCTCATCATCATCATCCTCCAACTCCTCCTCCTCCTCCTCCTCCTCCTCCTCCTCCTCCTCATCATCATCATCATCATCATCATCATCATCATCATCATCATCATCATCATTAGCATCGCCTTCATCATTATCGTCATCGTCATCGTCGTCGTCATCATCATCAGCATCATCAGCATCATCGTCCTCGTCCTCGTCATCGTCATCGTCATAATCATCGTCCTCGTCCTAGTCATCGTCATCGTCATCGTCATCACCATCCTCATCATCACCACCACCACCACCATCATCATCATCATCATCATCATCATCACAACCACCACCACCAACAACAACACAGTCATCATCATCATCACCATCATCAGCAGCATAATCATCATCATTCCCCTTCTCACTTCCTCTCGCTCCTCATCCTCCTCCTTCTCGTCATCCTCCTCATCCTGATCCTCGTGGTCCCCTCCCCCTAATCTTGCTCCTGGTCCTCCCCCTCCTCCTCCTCCCTCCTCCTCCTCCTCTTCCTCCCCCTCCTCCTCATCATCATCCTCCTCCCTGTCTCTCTCCTCGTCCTCCTCCCTCCTCCTCCCCCTCCTCCTCCTCCACCTCCCCCTCCTCCTCATCATCATCCTCCTCCCTGTCTCTCTCCTCGTCCCCTCCCTCCTCCTCCTCCTCCTCCTCATCATCATCATCATCATCTCACTCCTCCTCTCCCTTCCAATACGAAATCCTTCTCACGCTCCTGGTGTTGTTCATCCTCGTCCTCCTCCTCCTCCTCCACCTCCTCCTCCTCCTCCTCCAGCTCCTGCTCCTTCTCTGAGCCTACCCCTTGACCTTCCGTTCCCTGGCCTTCGGCCATCACTCCAGCCTCCAACGGCCGCTCGGGACGCTCCAGCACCCCCCTGAACGCTCTCGGAGAGGCGCAGCTCCTGGAGAGCACCCCGAGGCTTATGTTGCTCCCATCGCACATAAGGACCACATCCCAGAAATAATTTCGAACTCCCAGGAAAGTATCGAAAAAGTGTCGAACAAATATCGCCTCCCAGGGCCCAACACGTGAAAACCCTCCAGTTTCGGTACTTTCTTGGTGCTCGAAATTCTTTCTGGTAGTGCAAGCAAAAATAAATTGGAGCATCATAACCCGAGGCAAGAAAAGCAGCGAGGACCTACCGAGAGGCCCGAAAACCTCGAGCCTCGAAACGAAAGTTGCCCCTGGCTTCCCTCGGCAGCGAGCCCATGGGGGAAGTCACAGGGGGCGGGCCTTCTCAGAAGGCCTGGAAGGCCCCCCGCCTTCTGCAAAGTGTCCGAAGCCTTCTCCAGAGACACGGACGGCTTCGCAGAGGACTGGAGGGCATCTGAGAAGCCCCGCCGCCTTCCAAGATGGCATACCACCTCTCAGTTGTCCCCATCGGGGGCGCGCAAGCATGGATTAGCGATCCATGGATTTGGCGCGCGGTCGCCAATCCATGAAGCGCGGGAGGTGCCCTCCCCAAAATGCGGCCAGTGCCGCCTCGCTCGGCGACGGAAATCCGCGCTTTGCCCCGTGGAAACGGGCCCCGTCGCTCATCCACGCCCCCATTCATCCATGCTTGCGATCGCCTGATCTCAGTTGCCCCCCTGGGCGCGCCACTCCCCCCAACCCCCCCGGGCGCGCCGTTTTGCTGTTCCGCGGCGACCGCCGCCCGCGCGCGCAGCTGGGAGGCTGCACGCGTGGCGGGCGGCCTGGGGCGCCCTCGGCGGCTCCCAAAAGGAGGGCCGCCTCGCGGCCAAGGGGGGGAGGGGGCGCCGCTGCTGACGACCGGTCGATCCTGCGCAAGGGGTCGACCGTCCTGGCGTGTTCCCAGACACCCGGCTGCTCCAATTTCTGTTGATGCGTCCGGACCACTTCCCCAGGGCCGGCTTCTCGTCCCGAGTCGTTGTTGCGCGCTCCCGAGGCCCGGCGAGGGTCCCCAGAGGCCGAAAACGGAAAAAACCGCCCGCTCCCATTTTTTGGGAGCGCCGGATCTCTGGGTTGACGGGCCTCCCAGGAAGGTTCGGACAGAGGCCTCCCATATGGGGTCCGAGTAGATGGGGCCAGAGGATCGCGCCGCATCGCCGATGCACCGCCGATATCGCCGATGCATCGGCGATGTACTGGCGACGTCAGCGATGCATCGGCGACGTCGGCGTGGAGAAAATCGGACTCCACATCGAGTCGTATCACCAATACATCGGCGATGCGTCGCGATCCTCCGAAGCCATCTAGTCGGACCCCATCTGGGACGGCCTGATCTGAGAAGAGAAAAACGTTTGAATAACAACCACCATGTTCTTAGAACACGCAAGCGGTGGGTCAAAACAGGACTGTTCAGCCAGAAATGCTCCGAGAAAAAGAAAATGTCCATAATTGTTGTTGGCGTGTGGGCATTCAAGCAAGTCAGGACGCTTCACCGCTGCTTGATGATCGATCGGTCGATCGAGGGTCGGTCTGGGGTATGTCGACCCACACCTCCGACGACACGTTGCTTTGACTTGGGATTGTTCCTCGATTTCGGCCCTCGGGATACGCTTTCGGACGCCAGAACCATCCAAAACTGATCCAGGAGGAACAGCTACCCCAGGAAAGCGGACAAGACCTCTGAGGCCGCGGATGGAAGAAACTCATAACGGCGGATGCCGCGAGACCAACCACATCTACCCTTGCAAGGCCAATCAATCTTGGGCACAGAACCGGTGTATATGCCCGCCTGGCCTAACAGGGAGGGTTCACTCCACCTCTGCTTGCAAGAAACACTTGGGTCGACGCTGAGTCGATCTGAGATAACAACTGGCAAGGCCACCTCCTACCGGCGGGTGCCAGCAAGCAAACAAATGCTGAGTACGAAACGCACATGAGCACATAGCCACTATCACGTGGCATCGCAATACTTGCTGACTGCGACACGCCACGCCGTGGCCGAAGAAAACGCGCCAATCCTGGCCAGGGCCGATACTGGGCCAGGGTCTGTTGTTTTTGTTCTTCTCTTCTCCCACTGCGACAGTTATGAATGGAAACGTTGCGTGCTTGAAGTGACCCACATGTTGGCGAACTGCCATGGATGCAAAGATTGTGGCCCGAGCGGACAACCTGCCGATCTCTGCCCTTCCTAATTATTGACAAAAGGTCTTCGATGGGCCAGGGGTCGGTTGTGCAGCACGCCTCCCGGGCTCGGACAGGGTCGCCCCGGCCAGGACCGGTGGTCAAGAGTTTCGGACGCCTCCTGGCCCTCTCTGGACCTCCTGGGGCCTCCAAGAGGCCTCCAGGATGCCTTCACAGGGGGAGGAGGGAGAGGGAGAAGGAGGAACGACGGTGAGAACGAGGCTGTGGAAAAGGAGAAGGCGTCCAAGACGCGGACTAGCTCAGACGGTACAACGAACTGGAGCGGGTCTCAACCTCAACGTCATTCTTACCGCGCTGGCATCAGGGTGGGGGTTGCCGCAGGCAACTGGACAAGCCACGCGCGCCGCTCACGGTCTCAGCCCATCGCGACGTGGTGAAACAAAATTGCATGGCAGCGAACAGCACGAGCAAGTCACTTCATTTGTTTATGATCCTACGGCCGAAACGCAACATCCAGTTGCCCAAGCTTGCGAAATGTCCGCCTCGATTGTTCGCGGCACCAGAAGTCTCGCCCCACCCTCCCTCAAATCGGGAGCTCCAGAAAACATACACGCCCAGCCACGTAAAAGAATAGGGCCCCCAGTTCGCGAGGCCACTCACATGTCACGAAAGTTCGCGTAACACGTTCTCGAAACCCATGTGAATGTAGTGTTCGAATGCGTATGTGCTTCGCTACTGATCCGAGATCGACTCCTCGGACCTCTCCCGTGACTGGATCCGTCAGAATCGGATCGGGAAATCGGATCGACTCGAACTCTGCGTCGACTAGGACTGCACCTGCGCGGAGCTGCAACCGAATCCGCTCGGGTACGCCAAGATGTGCAACATCGCCAGGCAAACAAGAGATCAAAGCCTCTAGGGAAGAGCCGGGGAGGAGGAGGAGGAGGAGGAGGAGGAGGAAGAGGGGGGGACCAAACAAGAGCCCGTTTTTGCACCACTCGCGATCCCACCCCGAACCGGCCCCGCCTCCCCCCTTCCCCCGCCCGGTCACGCCACGACTCGCGCCGGCGCCGCGTGGGAATCCGTGCGAGACCTTGTGTAGCAATCCGCGAGGGGTCGTGTTCATGATTTGCATTTTTTCCGCTGCATCTGTTCTTCTTTGTGCACGAATCACGCCGTTCCCGCAAGCGGGACGAGACGTCCTAGGGCGCTGGATCGGGCTTCTGCTTCTGCTTCTGCTTCTGCTTCTGCTTCTGCCACGTTGGAGTCAGCCATTCCGAAACAATCCCCGACGGCGCCGGCGCGAATCGTGACGTGACCGGCCTCCTCCCCCCCTCCCCTCCCCGGTCTCGCCCGTTAGCACCGAGGGATAAGCAACGGTCTCCAACGGGCCGCGTGGGATGGTCGGAATTTCGGAACAGAAACGGATGGGGCCAGGCGGATTCGATACCGAATCGGACCGATCGGATGGCAAGGAGGGCCCAAGGAAAAA